ATAAATCTATAAACATTTATTTTTATTTTGGTGATATTACTGGCCTGTAAGTAAAACAAAGTATTGCAGAAATGGTAAATTTTTTGATATCTAAAAAAAAGTGGAGAAAACGACAGTTTTTCTGAAACATATAGTTTGAAAATAGGTTGAGTATTCACTAGTGCATGAAGAAATTATGGTCATGTGAGTTCTGTGGCATTTATATTTCTCTGTTATTTGGAATCTTAAATTCTAGAAATAATCTTTTAGCATAGCTTCTACCACTTTCCTTCCATGGAACAAGCTTCATACTTCTAATAATAAGTGTATAAGTCCATTGGAGTAGTGTACCACCAACCATTTAAGTTGTTCTATGTTCAGTTAACCACATTATCCATTTTTTAAATAACAAATGATTATTTGATCTTTCCGTATGCCAGTTAGTAGGATGAAAAGCCTTAGCAAGAGAAAGGAAGGAAGGAAAGAAAGACCACAGTAGTGCTGTGGTCCAACAGAGGGAAGGAACATGCCTAGGGCTACAAATTGGAGTGGAGGGGAGAAGGGGAGGGAGAGAGAAGTTGGGGGATAATTGGGAGGGGACAAAGGGTACAAAAGTAATTTCTGGTAATGGGTATGCCTCCAGTGTGAATCTGGCCCTCACATCATGGGCAGGAGGGGGGACAATTAGCTTTGTATCTCATGAATATTCTTAATAAATAAATAATAAAAAAATTTTTTAAAAAGCCTTAGCAATTGATTTTAAGGTAACCATTGAGAGAAACGGTTCAGGATACCATCAACTCATGACTTCCACTGTCACCTCTATCAAAATATCTTCCTGTTCATTATGGTTCAGCATGGGCCATTGTCCTGCATTTCTTTTTTTCCCTGATCTATCTTAATATGAACATTTAAGTCTGTGAATAAACAAAGGGACTTAGTGAATGAGGCCTGATTTTTTTGTTGTTAAATGATAATAAGATTTCATACAAAATAACTTAAAATAGGAAAAAATTAATTTCTCTAATATGGTGAATGTGCACTGTGCAAAGAGCCATGACAGTTGAGCTTGCATACTTTTTTCATTAGTATGTTTTGATTTTTTTAAAAACCGTTTCTTAATTTCAGTGTCTCTAATATGGTGAATGTGCACTGTGCAAAGAGCCATGACAGTTGAGCTTGCATACTTTTTTTCATTAGTATGTTTTGATTTTTTTAAAAATGTTTCTTAATTTCAGAGGAGCTTTAAGAAGTGATATTAAGGAACAAACTACTTAACTGTCAGTAAATTTATTTTTCAGACAAACATCATATCTGAACTAAGTAAATGGAGACTTAATTTTATTGATTGGCACCGAATGGAAATGAAAAAAGAGAAAGAAAGACATGCAGCACATTTAAAACAACTGTGCGACCAGATCAATGACTTGAAGGAGCTGCAAAAAACCTTTGAAATCTCCATAGGAAGAAAAGATGAGGTCTTTTTTTTATATATGTCTTTTAACTGAGATTCAGTAAATGTCTTGCTAGATAATAAACTCCAGGAGCTAATGATTATTTAGCTCATATAAGATATAAAGGTAAAATCACCTCAGAAACTAAAGAAAAATAAATTCATAGCCATAGGATTTATTCTTCCTATTAAACATGCCAGTGTAATGTCATTTGACCTTTGCCGTTGACTTCAGTGTTCTTGATATTTTAAGAGTGTATGCTTTGTAATCATATATTGAAATATCACCTTGTACCCCATAAATGTATACAATTATGCTTTGTCAATTAAAAATAATATTTTTTTAAAGGTGTATGATAAATGTAGGTATACTAGTTTTTTCTTCCTGATCTTTTCTTCCTAACTACCCTTAAGAAAACATCAAGGTCCCACAGCATTACCCACATTTTCAACCATCCTTTTAGGGATCACTTTTAACATCTCAAATTCTGTGATATGTCTTTCCTCATTGATGAAGTCTTTTTTCATTTTATTGGTAAACACAGAGAATACTTTTTATTTCACTTTCTGTTTGTCTCAAGTACTTGAGGGTAAGGTTCAAGTCTGTGCTAATTTTTTGCCTCCTGGAACAAAGCAGATAGACAACAAATCTATGCCCCCACCCATTTATGGTATGGAGGGTGGTGGCTTTAAGAGGAGAGGGACTTTGGGCAGACACTCAGCTACTTGTCTGCAGAAGTAGAACTAGAATGTTTTAATGAACTAGGTAAAGATTATGGGTTTGTTTGTTTTTTTAAATGTACATATCTTTTGGTTTTGAAGGGTCTAATATAAAATCGAGCATTTTATGTACTTTGCTTTTTTGAAAAGATGGATACTAATGTCAGTAATTTTTTCCATTTCCCTCAAAACTATCTAAGGTTTTAAATATTCTAAATTTATTTTTTTTATTTTGAAATATCACACACAAAAAGAGTGTAGATATTTTGTGTTCAGTTTATGAAGATGAATAAAGTGAATAGCCGTGCACCACCATTCAGCTTAAGAAGTGTAGAGTATTACCGATATCTTAGAACATGTGCCTTTTCCTCTTTTGAAATTACTTAAAGAAGAATGACAATAAATGTCTCTTGGTAAATGTGCTCAGTTTACTGAATCTCTTTTTAATGTGGTCATTTTTAGATATATATTTCAGTTATTCAGTTCTTTATAAAAGAATATTAAGATTTAAAAGCCTTGGTAGGTTTTTTATTTTTAAGGACAAGAATAACATCCTTGAAGAAGTGCATCAGAATATAAGTATTACTTTTATAAGTTACTTTTATAAGTTTTTTGTTTTCATAATATTCTTTTATAAGAAAATTAGTAAACAGTTATTGAGAAACTTCAATATCTGAGGTAGTAATAGAGACTGGAAAGCTATTTAAAACCTGGCCCCTGTCCTCAAGTCTAGTGAAAAAGTCTTCTTGTATATGTAGCAAGACTTTTAAATGTACAATTGTTTTTCTTGAATTAAATGTCAGTAACTATATTAATTTTTATGTACATAAACTTATAATTGGTGATTACCAGGATATACACATAATGAAGATTTCTTTCCTCTTTTGTTCCGCTTCATTCATTGATATTTAGTATATTCATGTGGGAAAGTTTTGTGGTCTTTTTATAGATAATAATGAAGTTAAGTAGATGAGTATAGCAGTGATTCATAGCTATTCTCTCTTGCATTTTGTGATATATGAGAAAATCACTTTACCAATTGCTGTTATTGTAATATCACAATAATTAGGTTAATTGCTGTTTATAGGTGATTTCTAGCTTGTCTCATGCCATAGGCAAGCAAAAGGAAAAGATAGAGTTGATGAGAACATTCTTCCACTGGCGAATTGGTCATGTCAAATCCAGACAGGACGTAAGTATAAAAAAGGAAAAACCACCGATGGATATTACACTTCTGAACTCAAAAGGGTTTAGGATTACTTATTAGAACTCTTGTTAAAGATTTTCTTCTAATAAGTCAGGAAGAATTTATGACTTAATGTTCTTATTTCAAAGGAATTTGATTTTGATACAGTTTGGAATAAATACCTCTTAGATTTCATAGACTTAGGAAGGTACTTCAAAAAGTTTATGGAAAGATTCATATTATCTTCCAGCTCAATTTTTCCACAAACTTTTTAAAGTATCCTCATATAGTATATATCATGATAGATAAATCATTTGCTGCTTTTTAGTAGGTTAATAAGGATTGTACCTGAATTACAGATACCCTAGTAAATGGACCCTTTTAACAAATTTGACCTCAGATATGGTTATGTGGAGAAAGAATTTATAATCTTTTAACATATCTTATACTTCCTATATTGTTTCTACTTTTAAAATGCCTGAATACAACCTCTTCATAAAAAGGCATTACTGTATATTAAAGAATAGTGCAAATGTTTGTTGTATACACTTGCCGTAGGGTGAGAATCAAAGAAAGCCATGCCTGCGTAACTTTCTAAAAATTATCCTTAGTTTGTAGTATATAATTTAAACTTGAACGTCTTTTATTTTAATTGAGAGCTGAGTCAGTATATCAAAGTAAATGGTAAACAGAGAGAATAATAAATTATTTTATCAAAAGTGCAAAAGCATGAAAGTCTATATATCCCACAAGAAAACACAATATAGAGACCCATGAGTATAGGAGATGGATATAGATAGTTTTTTTCAAGAGATTAGTATTTAAGGAGTAAGCTATTATTTTCATGGAATAGGATTTCTCCTTTAAGAAAATTTTGTGGTGTTTTCACTTTTTTATTAATCCCAATAGGTCAAATCCACATTAATCATATTGAAATGAGCTGTTTAAAGTGAATATTTATACCATATTTTCAAAGTTATTGGTCAAATGACATAATGAGAATACTTATTTTTAAAGGTTAGCTAGAATAGTTGAGGCTGTCATTACTTTTTGTAGTTTCTAAAGAAAATTGAGAATTGGAACTACTTCAAAAGAATTTAAATTCATTGACAAAAGAAAAATAGCATATGTTCCTATTTGGATTGGTTTCACACTATATATGATGGTAAGGTTAAATTAATCTTGCCTATGGTGGTGGCCACCAAGCTAAAGAGAAAGCAGTGTCATCCAAACCCGCAGACACCACTCTTTTGCCTTCCAGCCAATCTTTATTTTCATGGTCCTGCTTTCAGCTAAAAAGTGATGCAAATTCATAGCTAAGATGGCAAATGGTGGTTTACTCATTTTCTTTCATTCAGTCTTTTGTTTTTCCCTAAACTTGATTAGTTGCATAAAGCAGTGATGTAATGGATAAGAGCTCAGGCTCAGGAGTCAGGCAAGTCTTTTCAGCTAAAAAGTGATGCAAATTCATAGCTAAGATGGCAAATGGTGGTTTACTCATTTTCATTCATTCAGTCTTTTGTTTTTCCCTAAACTTGATTAGTTGCATAAAGCAGTGATGTAATGGATAAGAGCTCAGGCTCAGGAGTCAGGCAAGTCAGGCTTTACCCTTTCTATTTGTGTGACCTAGGTAGGTTACTTAACCTCTAAGCCTGCTGTCCTGTGTGCAAGATGAGATTAATATGATTACGCAGGAGTAAATGATCATGTATGTACACTTACTACCATGTTATGTTTATTGTTATATCTACCAATGCATTCAGCAGTCTGCTGTGTTTTTGAAATTATGTGTTAATATTTACTTAGGTTTATGAAGGTAAACTAGCTGACCAGTACTTCCACAGAACTTTACTGAAGAAAGTCTGGAAAGGCTGGCATTCCATCGTACAGAAGCAGTGGAAAGATGTGGTGGAGCGAGCTTGTCAAGCAAGAGCTGAAGAAGTGTGTGTCCAGATTTCCAATGATTATGAAACCAAAGTTGCTATGGTAAACTTTTTTTTTAAGTTTTATTTTCTTTTAATACAATACAAAAGATGGGTGGACTCACTATTAGTTTATAGTTAGACCGTTTATTTGTTCTTTATGTTGCCAGATATAAAGACGAAAACAAAAATGTTTATCCTCATGCTTGTTTAAATAAACTGTATTCTTAAAGAGTTGATATGAAGTAGTTGTTTATAAATTGAGAGTATTTTCCCATTGACTTTAATAACAAAATTAACATTGTTTCCATGGGAAAACATTTGGGACCCAAAATAAAATGAAAACCATTCTGAAGAATGAAATAGGCCTCTTGAAATCAAATATTAAAAGGAAAACAAATTTCATCATTACAGCACTAAATTCTTAGTATTAAAAATAAATTTCCATAATACAAACAGTTTTCTGTAGTTCAAAATGGCATGCAGAATAATACAGTCCCTTTAGGTTTGGTCTGTGGGAAAGTGTATTGTACCTAATGTCACTCTGCACTTTCAATTCTATAGATAACATTTATATTTTTAAAATTCTGTTAATATTGCAGGCATTGTCTTATTTTTTTCTGAAAGGATGAGGGCTATCTGTGGCTCTTAATATATTTTGTTTAATATCCTACATAAAAGTTTTATGTTAAGAAATGACATATCTTTTTGCATAATGAAAACACATCAGCAGTCTTCAGTGGGACTGTTATACAACTCCTCATCTGAGCCTTGACTTTTTGGTTAGAAATAAAAATGATTTGTTGAATGCATACAATAGAGGTAAGACGTACCTTTTGGGCACATAATTAAGAGGTACGTGGTAAACTGTGTTTAGTATTTCACATAAGAATAACCTCATGATATAAGTCTATTATTTAACAATAATATTCTTCCCATGACTCAAAGGGCACATAATTAAGAGGTACGTGGTAAACTGTGTTTAGTATTTCACATAAGAATAACCTCACGATATAAGTCTATTATTTAACAATAATATTCTTCCCATGACTCAAATCTTTTTTGTATTCTTTTTTGTAATTCTCCTTATTTTAGTTATCTGGAGCTTTGGAAAATGCCAAAGCTGAGATTCAAAGAATGCAACATGAAAAAGAGCACTTTGAAGATTCCATGAAAAAAGCTTTCATGAGGGGTGTGTGTGCATTAAATCTTGAAGCCATGACTATGTTTCAGAACAGAAATGATACAGGTTAGTGTTTCATTGAAAACTGTCTATTTTCAAAAAAAGGATTTGAGGAGATTTCAGTGATTGCTATGGTCTACAGTACTAATGTTCCGCAGTGGGCATCTTTCATCCAGGTATTGGTATTTTTAATTTCATGGTGTCATATCCAGCTTTAAATGTGCCATGAAAATTATCTCAGTCATGGTTACTTATGGTATCTTAGACCTAATCAAGTAAACTGTCAACTCTTAAGTATTTAAGGTAAATGTTAAAATAATACTTTTAATGTATAACATTATTTTAAGGCTTTTTTAACTAATAATTTTAATGCCTTTAAGTACAAAATTTATATTTTAGTTGTTTCCTAAATGGCCAAATTCTTTGGACTGTTTTGTTGATTAAATTTTTTTTATCTAGTCATGGTTTCCCATTTTTAAAAAATTGCTTGTCTTCCAGTTCGAAACTAAGCTCATTTTCAATAGATATAAGCCTATCTGTACAAGTTAAATAAAATAATTTTATTTCAAAAAAAAGTCCATGTATTGCCTGGGATCTGAGTGGCTTGGTATAGTAGTTTTGTCATCATAGCTCAGAAGAGCACATGACTAGAATCCTTTGCCACCAATTTACGGTGGGACCTGTTTTCCTCATTGGGCCTCGTATTTCTTCTCTGAACAAAAGAGATAACATAAACTGTCATTACCTGCTTCATAGGGGTTTCTGTGGGGATGCAGTGAAATATACTTGAAAGCACTCTAAATGACAGAGTGTACTTTAACATGTAAGAAGATACTCATGATAGTTATTATAGCCTTAAGTCAGCCTCCCAAGTTTCATGCAAATACATGAACCTTTTTGCAGTACTGCCTCATATTATATCCTGTTTGATACTCACAGCTTATTTATGAATGAGACAATTTCATTTTGTAACAACACTAACATGATTCAATACAGTGAATAACTTCTCTGTGCTTCTCATACCCTCATTTTAAAGCATCAACAAAAATTTATTATTTAAATCATGCATGTCGTGGATAGTAATGAGTTTAGACAAATCACTTTCTATCTGAAGCAGTCATGGTATGTGGCCCATCTGCAAGTTAGAAACAGAATTATTGAATATCAAAGCTGAATTTATCTTGCTAATACCCAAATGAGTACTTGATTTCTCTAATAGATAGTCTTTTGAGTATCAGCACTGAAAACAAACTCACAAACTTCAATGATAGAATAGTCTATTTCAGTTCTAATTATTAGCAAGTTGTATGTACTAGATCGAGGAACTTAATTGTCTATTTGGAAGAGATACTACTAGGTTTCACAAGTAAAGTAACAAATTCTTATTATTAGAACTTCTCATTCATTCATAGGAAACCTCTTCTCATAACCTACTTAAGAAGGTTATAAATTGACTTAGGACAGAGTGTTTTGCCACCTTAATAAATTTACCATCTTAAAATTTAAATTCAGAAAAAGCTGCGTCTCCTACAGACAAATATCTGAGGAAATGTATTCTGATCATTACATGGCATGATTTATTTTGCTCCTGTTACTTCCAAGTCTACTATCATCTGCAGCTAATACCAGCTCTAGGAACCCACTGTTTTGAGTGGCCTTGTGCATTCTTTATCATAATAATGGGTGATAAAGATGACAAGAATAGTGAAACACATGCTAGCAAGTGTGGTGGAGTTACCAAATGCTAAAGTTCAGTGTAATCTAATGGTGGATTTGCTTTGTCTCGTGAGAAAAAAAAAATTACTTCTGGCCTCCTTTCTTCCATTAAAACAATTGTTTTTTAAAATGCAGTTTTTAATAATGCAAGATTCCTAATGCATATATTAGAGCAAAACAAATATTTGTTTTTTTATTTGTTCTTATTCTCTGTTGTGTGTAATCTGCAGTGCATCTCATGTTGTACAATGTCATAAATCTCATAGATTGTAAATTAGAAGTTTTTATAAAGAAGGCAGAATATGATCATAAAACCAGCCTTAAAATGATACTTGCCAATTTTTAAAGGCACAATAGAAAAATGTTTTATAACTGTAAAGATTTATCTGTAAATCAGTTAAAGCAAGAATAGTTATTAAGCTTAACAGTTATCTGATAAACAGGAACTGCATAAATCAGCCCACATTAGCTGGGTCCGAGCTTTGTCCTAGCTTCTGGAAGCTGACATCATCACTCCGCCTCTCTTCCACAGTATCTCATGGCCAGGCCTGACCTTTATACTGGTTCTACATCTGGTAATGTCGACCACCCACCTAAAGAGAGACACTCAGAATCACTTTCTATCAAAAACATGTTAAAACTCAGTGTATGTGTGTTTTGTTTTGCTTTCAAATAAAAGCAGTATTTTATATTGAATTAATCCTTTCATCAGAGGATTTCAAAGAATCTAGGCACTGTAATCATTGTTAAATTTTGTTAATAAGTTAACTGTTATTCTACGTATTTTATAAACAGATTGTCTAAGAAAAGGACTTTATGCAGAAGCCTAAATTTCTGGTGTGAAAGAGGACAACATAGAAAAGTACTTAAACATAGGACCTACCTACTGCTCACTATACATATTCTAAAACATCTCATTGACTGAATTTCTAAACGCTCACCCCAGTGTTTTGTGCCACATAGATGTGGTCTTAAGTGAAAACTAGCCAGATTCTACTAATGGGGTCAAAAAATCTAAAATTGGGAGAAACCCTTTGTCCTAACTTCTGGAAGCTGACTTCATTACCCCTTAGATCAAGGTTAAGGTTCGGTTTTGAGGGAAGGTTACGATATGGGGTGTCACTACAAATCAGTTAAGTGTGCAGATATACTCTAAATTCATAATTTATGTAATCTACCTGAAAGAACTCATTTTTTTCCTCAATGTCGAAAGTGAAGATTTTAGTTTTACGTATTTATTTATTATTGTTTGCTGAGAAGTCAAGAATAAAAATGCATTGTTTTTGTTAGGAACAGTAGATGGAAATGAGAAGTTATGGTGATATTAGAAAATAGTTCTAGGGCTGGCCAGTTAGTGTACTGGCCTGTCACCAAAAAAAAAAAAAAAAAAGTTCTAAAGCTCCAAATACCTGGCCATTTATCAGGATAGTTGTATGAAATAAGGCAAAAGAACATAAATCCTTAGGCTCAGTGTGACCATATTATTGTAATAGTTGTGATGGCTATACACTTAAATGAAGTTTCAGCTGAGTACATGACTTATTTTTATAATCTTTTACATGAGTAAGTCATTCATTAGCTTTCATATGTTAGAGAAGGTGGCCTGAAGTCTTTAGTGGCTAATGCTGACATTAACCAGCTAATACTGACAAACTGTGTTAACTGAATATTGTACCCAGTACATGACTTATTTTTATAATCTTTTACATGAGTAAGTCATTCATTAGCTTTCATATGTTGGAGAAGGTGGCCTGAAGTCTTCAGTGGCTAATGCTGACATTAACCAGCTAATACTGACAAACTGTGTTAACTGAATATTGTACCAAATATGTGACAAATGTCTACATTTTTGTTAGTATCACATTTTAGCCATTGTGTGTTTTCATTGTTTGGGGGATAATAGTAATCTTAACTTGAAAGAGTTTAAATGGAATTAATTTGTGATTTGTAGGGATGGACTTCACAAATAATAGAAAGGAAGAGTATGGTTCTGGCATTCAAGGAAAAGAACATTCTGCTCATTTGGATCCTTCGGTCCCTCTGATGCCATCAGCAGTTACATCACCGCTGCTGCCGTCCTCACCAGCAGTGGCGGTTGGAGCGGCCAGTGCGACTGCTGTTCCCTCTGCTGCTTCGATGACTTCTGCTGGAGCTACTTCCACGTGTGTTCACGTTCCTGTTTCTGTTCTGGGTGCAGGATCTGCAGCTACTACTGCACCAGAAGAAATGGTCAGTACAGTTTATGCAAGTGCCATGCATATTATTTCAAAAACTTGTTTGTACATTGGGTATTTTGAACTCAGAACATATTTTCTTATGGTGGAAATAGTCTATGTGGTATTTAGGCCAAGCCACAGCAAATTAATTCAATACATAAAATGGCTAAAACATTAATTTGTAACAAAAAATAATATCCTAAAGTGCTATCACAGTAGCGATAGTTAAAACATAAAGAATTTTTTTCATTTTACATTTTTGAAGAACTGTTCAGAAAAAACATTTAATTTGAGCAAGAGTTGATGACAGGCTTATTTTTTCTTAAGTTTTAAGGAAATTAGTGGGTATTTTCAAGGGCTTAGGAGGATATTGTATATTTAATAGTACATTTTTCTATTCAACTAACAGCTTTCCCTTTTCCTGGGAGCAGATAGATCATTAACAGTATTGTGTAGTGACTCCATCTTGATTAGGTTTTAATTTTGAATTCATAACTGGAATGAAGATAGGAACAGTTTTTCCTAGAGTACTAAGCTACCATTAGTGAAGTGCCTAGAGGAAAGTATTGAAGGGGATGGAGTATTTGTGTGAGAACTTGCCTGAAGTGAAATTACATCAAGGCTCCTACTCAACTCCTCAGCCTCCTGTTGTTAAAACCTGTATTCTTCAAACAATGCTTCTCGAAGGGATACAAGCCAAGCTTATCAGACTCACCTCTGTGGAGCTTTTTTATAAAAAACACTAGGATCTTCTTCTCTACTCTCATTTGGCTCTGGCACAAAGGCATGTATAGTTTTATAAAACTCCTGAAATGATTCTGATTTGCTTGTCCTCCTCTTCTTCCTGACACCTAACTACTCATATGAGAGAAAGGAACATGGCAGAATAGGTTTTAGGTCATAAAGTTCCCCTGGCAGGCCATCAGAAGGTGCCGTTGCCCCAGACAGCTCTCCATAGCTAAAGGAGGTATTGAGTCAACCGGACATTTGGTCATCTTTAGTATTCTAGCTGACTTGACTATTTTACCTTTTGAGAACTGCTAACTTTGGGGAAAAATATGTTGAGACCTGCTATTTATCATGTTTGGTCTTAACTCAAAGAGATTAAAAATATATAGCACATGGCCGTTAAGAGAAATTTGAATGTCTGGGGGAGTTTTGACTTTGAAATAAGACACTAAAATTCAACACTGACATATGTTCAGCTGTGTTTATTTTCCATGATTACACATTTTGAAGTGAAATCCTATACAGATGATCTCATTTAAATAAACACCATGTTTATTTAAATTTCTGGTTTGTCACTCATGTTACATATGCAGATAAAAATACAGACAGCTAGATTTTTCAAAATTCCCTTCTTAAAATGTAACTACTCCAGTATATCCGCATTTGTATGTAAACCTGAATATGCATGGGAAGAACTGAATGAGTTGCTTACCACACTTTTTGTTGGTAACTTTTTGAAATAATTTGATCAACTGAGGAAATTTGGAAGTCTTTGAAAAACACAGTATTGTGTAGACAGCCTTCCCCCTCTGTCCCTCCCTCCACCACTACATCCACCCCTTCAGAAACAGGTACACATTCAACTTCATTCACCTAAGTACAGCCTGTAGGGCCAGAGAGAAAGTAGAATCACAAGTAAATCTATCTTCCCTCCTTAATAATTAAAATATTCAGATTCATTTCAAATATGTCTTCTGGTTTTTAAAAGAACCACAATAAAAGTAGGAACATTAATTGGCTAAGTTAATATGAAACCAGTTATTGTTGGGAATAAGAAAAGGAGATTTGCGGGCCAGCCTGGTGGCGCACTTGGTAGAGTGCGGCGCTCCCGCCAAGGGTTCGGATCCCATATAGAGACCGGTCCGCTCACTGGTTGAGCGCGGTGTGGGCGCGACACCGAGGGTTGCGATCCCGTTACCGGTCACGAAAAAAGACAAAAAAAAAAAAAAGAAAGAAAAGGAGATTTGTGACTCAGGCCGAGTTATCTTTCTTTTCATTTTAATCACAAAGGCTTCCTATAAACATTCTAAACTTTTTCCCCTCTTTATTGGTATTTCCAGTAGCTAAAAGGAGGTGTGTGCAGAAAGTTCAGAGAATTAGGATATAAATGGAGAAAGGATATAAATTACCATTCTAATGAAATAATATCTTCATGTGTGAAGATTGTTTTATTTTCTGCACACATCCTCATTATGTTAAAAAAATATATCAGAATTTCATGGTGGAAAACGTTTTTCAAAATATAGGCAGTTATGCGAGCAAATATATTGCAGTTCACCAGGATAAACAATAGATGGCACTTTCCTCTTCTAACTCAAATTGGAATGATTGAAGAGAAATATTTTTAGTTGGATTTTAAAGCTATTTGGTAAAACTGTTTAGTAAAGTTTCTCTTCCACCTTTTCATCTGAACGGAAAGTGAAAGGGTATCATTAGGCAGTTGGTACAGAGGAAATTGAAGGTTAGAGAAAGTAACTTGCCTGTGGACACCATTAGTAACTGTTGGAGTTGGAATTCAGACTTTAACAGTCTGACTTCAGAGCTCTGAACTCTTAACCAATCAACTGTAATGTTTCTCTATCAAATGTTAAGACACAAATATTGGTGTTTTTAAATATGTGACCTCCTTTTACTTTTTTTTCTCATTTCTTTCAATTTTGCTGCTTATGTTGATATAGCTTGAAATGCTATAATTTTTATTTTTATAGCATTTTTTAAAGTCAGCTGAGCTGATAAAT